CTCAATGGTGCAGCGATAAGAGTTAAGCAGAATCTTAGAGTTATTGGAAAATTCTCTAAGTTTCCGCAAAAAGAAGAGCCACTGACAAGCTTTCTTAACAACCGGGTTAGTATTTTTGTCCCATTTCAGGTTGTTAGACAGAGTTAAACCCAGAAACTTGCACTCCTCTACAATCTGCACCTGGGAGTTGTCAATAACAACAGGAGTGTGAGAACTGTTACGACTGAAGTCAAAGACAAGTTCACATGTTTTTGCAGTGTTCAGCTGGAGATTGTTTCCTTTACTCCACTGAAAAACATGTTCAATCTCTGTTCTATAAGAGGATTCATCATTGTCACTGATGAGACCGATGATGGTGGTGTCATCAGCGTATTTGACGATCAAGTTTGAGTCAGAGGAAGCCACAGTCGTGAGTGTACAAGGTAAAGAGCAGAGGACTCAGGATACATCCCTGAGGAGAACCAGTGCTCACAGAAACAACATCAGAAAAACAGTCATTGATTTTTACTCTCTGAGATCTGTCAGTTAAAAAGCAAAAAATCCATTTACACATGGATTACAACATTCAGACCAAGGGACATTAGTTTTTCAACCAATTTGCTTGGGACAAGACAATTAAAAGCAGAGCTATACAATAATCAATGAACAGCATTCTCACGACAGATTTACTAGTGTCCAAGTGACTGTACACAGAGTTCAGGGCGAAGGAGATCGCCTCCTCTACACTCCTGTTCTGTCTGTAAGCAAACTGGAGTGGATAGTCATTGAGACATGTCACTGGAGACTTCTTAGGAACTGGAATAATGGTGGACCTTTTAAAGCACACCGGCACCGTACAGCTCCTGAGTGACAAGTTAAAGATGTCCGTTAAAACAGGGGCAAGTTGCTCGGAGCACAGTTTCAGGACGCGGGGAGGAATGCAGTCCGGACCTGCGGCTTTCCGAGCTGTGGTCCTGGACAAGACCCGCCGGACTTCATCCTGAGTCACTGTGAAGGCACCCTGACATTCGGGGCAGACAAAAGGCAGGGGATCAGCAGATTCAAAGCTGCAGTAAAAGTCTTTGAGCTCATTTGGCAGAGTTTGGCCAGCAGCAATTTTCCCTGCACTTGGTTTCCAGGATCCCCTTCCACATGCGTCGAGGCTCCTCTTCCCCAAAGAAGCCCTCCAACCTGTCCCCATAGTAACGCTTAGCAGCTTTTATAGAGCGTTCCACAGCGTAGCAGGACAGCTTGTAAGCACCCTCATCACCGGATTGAAACGCCAGTGTCCGCTCATTAATTCTCAATTTGACGTCAGTGTTCATCCAAGGTTTTTGGCTGGAGTGTTCTTTGATAACTTTATAGGGGACACAACAGTCAATGCAAAATTGTATGTATCCTGCCACAGCCTCACAGAATTCATCAACATTATCAGAGTTAAAAACAGACCAGTCTGTGGCATAAAAGCAGCCCTGCAGCTTCATGTTAGCCTCCTCAGACCAGCACTGCACAGTGCGGGAAGTAGGTTTGTGCTGTTTGCTCCTCTGTGTGTAAGAAGGAAGAAGGAGAACAGAGGAGTGATCAGACTTCCCAAAAGCAGGTCTGAGATTGGACCTGTAAGCTGCCTTCACGTTACTATAGCAGTGATCCAGGATGTGCGCTCCAGTGGTAGGGTGACTCACATGCTGATAAAAGTTTGGTAATACAGACTTTAAGTTACATTTATTAAAATCACCACCAACTATAATCACAGCGTTGGGGTGAGCAGCCTCATGTTTATGCAAAATGTCACTTAAGTCATTCAGTGTAGCTGTACAGTCAGCCCGAGGATGAATATATACAGCACATAAGAAAATCACTGAGAATTCTCGGGGAAGATAGAACGGGCGGCATCTCAAAACCAGACACTCCAGGTTAGCAGAGCATGTTTTGTTTACAATACAACTGTCCATGCACCACCGCTGGTTAATTAAAAGACACACACCTCCACCTTTCGATTTCCCCGTGCTCTCCTTCTCTCTGTCCGAGCGGAAAATGGCGAATCCCGGCGGCTGAACAGCTGAGTCTGGGATGCTTCCTAAGCTCTCTGTTCTTATAAGATACAATTGTGTGAGGGCGCTCTAATCTACATAAAAGCAATGTTCGTAGTTGTAATTTACCGTCAAAGGTAATGTCTGAAAGTTGATTAACATCCCAAACGGGATGTGATCCGTTGTTGATAGCTCATAGAAAATGTTCATGTCTGTTAGGGATGAATGTGCATCTGCCGTTGCCACACAGTGATCCAACCAAGAAGTTAAATACCACGCCTCACTTATATACTGTATGTAAAACTGTCAGCCGGCATTAGGGCTTTAGATGACAGAAATAAGCTGTTATCCTCACAAAACTGTTCCAGATGATTAGCAAACAGGGACTCTTGTCAGAAATATCTGAATTCATATCACCAATGACCAGTACATTAAAAAACTTGTTATCCTGTATAAAAGTTAATGAAAGCAAGTCTATTTAAAAATTCAGCTTCATTAAGGGTGCACTCATACGGGGTGTACACGTTCAGAATAACACTTTCCTTGCCAATATGTGATAACTGTATTGCTATACACCAATCCATTTAGAGTCTTAGTACATTCACACAACAGATGGGACACAAGACCACAAAGAAGGGAAAATTCAATTAAATGTTTAAACTTCATTTCCAAAAGCATTCACAAAAACAATAAAATATTAGTTCCATGTACGCAGGCATTCGTGGTAAAATTAGAAATGGGTGGTGTACGCCCTGTGGTTTTTGTACGTCTCTGTGTCACTGTGTATTGGGGTATTATGGGACACAGTGAAATACACCCATACAAAAACTCATGCTTCAATGGAACTGAACAACGGCAGAAACAAGTCTTCAAAATGGACTGAAAATCTTGAGTAATGAATCGAGCCGTGGCCTTACTACACTATTATGGAAAACCAAGGTTATTTATTCTTCTTTGTTGTTGATTGAGCTTAAAAGCAGAAACAGATAAGAATGTTAACACGGCTATTCTACTTTTGTTTTTTATAGGAACTGTATTTCTCCCTACATTTTCAATTTATAATGTATTATTTAAAATGCAAAACCGCTTCATAAATAGCAGTTTTTTTAAAGATACATTTATCTTTAAAATAATAATAATAATATTTATGATGTGCCCTGTGCTCCTCTCGCTTTGGTCCATAGTCTCTGCTTGTCTTTGTCCGTCTGTTTTTCTGGATCCTGACTTTTGTTTGGGTTTTGAGTGTGTTTTTACCTATTTTATCATCTTTATTAAATCATTATTTTGCATTTCCTGCATTTTGAGTCCTCCTCCGTTCCACCATGTGACAGATCTTTCAGAACCCAGTGTTTTACTGTTGTGGAACTTTAGCTACAGCATAAATAACATCCCTTCACTCGGGAAATTGCCAAAACAAATTAGAAGGCATGATTTTTGTTTTAAAAAAGCAAAAGCTCCTTTGAACATTAAAGTGCACCAAGTATGTAATGAGAGCATGTGTAAAGATGGCGCAGGGATGTGTTTGTGTCAAAAGACCATGATATTAGCATCAATGAAGAGAAATACTGCTTTTGATGATGGACAATGTTATATCAAGAATAAAAACTCAACTTTCCCAAAGGTCTCCCATCACAGTACAAACAAGCCCTGCCCTACTTAGCAATTATATTTTAAATTCCTGTTCCAAAGTTATGAGACGCCTTTGATTTGTGGCTGATCATTTTGGATAAAGCCAATAATCCTTATGCTTAGTGTTTTACGTTGTGCGTTTGTCACATTCAAAACGACAGCTGGGAGCACTGGAGAAAAAGAGGAACCTAGTGTCTAGTTGAAAAGGAAATAAAAACCTCTGGGAATGACTTATAATAGTTCATAATGCAGGCTCCACAGTTTTTTATTAAAGCAGTATTTGTGGAACATGTGGATGTACGACAGAAGTGTTGGGAAAAGGAACACAGGTCACTGCAACGTCTGGTAAGTCCAAAATGTCAATATTTCATTTATTTGTTTTCATTTTTTATGCTTCAGTTGTTTAGAGTTGACATAACATTGAAATAATCCACTGCGATGTGTAAAGTCTATATATCCTGGTAAAAAGGATCTGCGGGGACCGTCACATCAGGTACAAAAAGAATCGTTATGATGTATTTTTCTATTTCATTGGTGTGCTTTTTGTGACATTTTAACATAATAGTAAAATATTGGCAATCATCACAAAGAGATTCTTCGAAAGTTGGACGAGTCTTAAAATTGTGCGTCATCACAGTTTAAAAAAACCTCTAAAAAATACAAATGTTCTTTCATTTTTATTTTTGATTTCAGACACAAAAGTTATTAGTACAATCTTTGACATAGTGTGAATTTGCTCTGATTTTAGCTTAAACAGGATTATTTTAGTGTCTAAATAAACGCATACATTGAACGGCTGTCATCCATCAATATAACATTTTTAAATTTAACAGAAATCTATTTAATTTTATGGTTTGACAATGAATAAAGAATAGACTGGTTTTGGTACGACGTGAAGGACAGAACAATGCACTGTGATTATGGTTTTGATTACTGGGGAAAAGGAACCATGGTCACTGTTGCATCTGGTAAGTCAAACTATTTAAAACACAAATAATTCACCTTTTGTTCGTACTAAGCAACAAACAATTTA